TGGAAAGCCATCTGGCAGGAGACATACCAAATTGCTATCAGTGGTTAGTTACCTCTGTGAAGCGGTGAGAAGGGGGTGGTATAAAGGAAGGAATTTCACTTTTTCTCCATAATTTGCTTCTTTAGTGCTTGGATTACATAATGAACTTATACTCGGATACGGCACATGTAATTTAAAAAAATTGTAATGCATTGAGCCAGATCTGTTCACCAGGTATTTATAGTTAAGAGCCATGCTTTTGGCTCAGGGTGCTGTGGGCAAAGAGATGGATGACTCAGACTGTCCAGGCCCTTCCTTAGGGAGTACCCAGTTGTAGATGTGAGCACGTTGGGCTGGTTGTAAAGAGTACCTCCTACCCCACCCCTGTCAGCCCAAAGGAGTCAGCCCCAGCTGGGAGGTGGCCCTGGTTCTGACCTCCTGGGGAGTGGGTACCCAGTCCCTCCACCCTTCATCTATTCCAAGCCATCCCTCCCCATCCTTTGGAGACCCCCTCCTGAGAACCCCTCCCATCCCTCCACAAAGCCTGACCCCTCTGCTAGGCTAAACCCCCCTTCACAATGATGCCACAAGGCCCTTCCTCCTGCCAGGTGCACAACCCTCCTCCCCCAGAGGTTCGCTGTTCCCTGTCAATTTGACAGAAGGAAAGAATATTAATGAGGCTGCCCTCGCCATATCCTTTTTATAGAGCTGCTTCTTGGCAGGGAGGAGGTCTTTCTAAGGACAGGCTCAGAGGGAGTCATGCCCAGCATGGCTCTGGATCAGATTCCATGGCAGAGCTAAGTGGTTGAGGGAGGAGGTAAGGATTAGGGGATGGGAACATCTTCAAGGCAGGAGGGTAGAAAGGTGGGAACCATCCCTTAGCACAGAGGTTAAGATCCTGGTTCCTAAGCCAAACAGCCTGGTTTCCAATTATAGCTCAACTATCTTGCAACTATGTGACATTGGACAAGTTAAGTTCTCTGTGCCTCAGTTTCCCCATCAGTGGCTCCCTTATGGGCTGTCAAGAGAAGCTGATAAAATGATACACATACAGTCCTTGGCACAGTGCCTGGCACAATGGAGGTGCTCGGTAAATGGCAGCAAGTGTTAATTTGTAGGATTTGAAGGATTTCCCCGAACACCATCAGTCATGTTTTAAGACTCTTCATGGTGCATTCCCAAGAACAGGCAATGTGTCTTATTGATCTCTGTAGCCCTTCTGCCTCATGCAGGACTTGGCCCTTCATAGGTGCTCAAGGAAATAGTTGTTGCATGAATAAGGAAATGAATGAAGAACAAATAAAACTGGGCCATAGGACTGACTTCTAATCTCAAGATATCATCTCAATACAGGACACTTAGAATTGCTGGTTGAACAAATTAAAAGATATTTTAGTGCATGGATAGGCTGGTGGAAAAGTAAAGAAAATCTTCAGAGGTCAGAAAGGATAAGAAATGCAGTTCCAGAGAACTGAGTGAGCACCTCGCTGCGGGCATCTGGTCAACCCAAAGCCTGGGCTTGACACATTGTGTTAAAGTGGACAGGAAACAAGGTCTGAGCCCGAGCAAGGTGGGGAGATCAGATCTGCTGCCCCTGCATAAAGTAGGGTCCTCCCAATATGAATGAAGAAAAGCCTGCTGTGGCTCTGGTGGGAAGGGAAAAATGGAGAGAAAAAGATCTCCCTCTTAGAGAATTCTTACCCACAAGCTCACCCTCACTTGGGCTTAGGGCCAGAATTCATGCTACACATGAGGCCTAAAAATCCAGAAGCAATTGGCCCGCCATTGGTAATGGCACCTGACCAAAGCATAAACAAATCTTCTCCGAAGAAACACCCTCTTAAACCCAGTCCTGAAAGAATTCCTAAGAAAACAAGTTCCAAGAAACATGGGTGCCAAAAAAAAAAAAAAAAAAAGCCAAAACACACAAGGAAACAAGCAACTATGAGCAAGAATCAGCAGAAACGACAGCTAAATCAGACCTACAAAGACCGAAAACATTGGAATTGTGATCACGAATATAAAATGAATGTGTGTTTAAACCGTAAACGTGGATACCAGAAGTATGACAATAAGAGGTTAAGATTATAAGAAAACACCAGGCTGATTTGAAAAAGAATCAAACAAAATATCTAGACATAAGGAGTAAAATCATCAAATGGGTACAACAGAAGATGAGGCAAAGCTGAGCAGAGAATTGGTAAACTGGAAAAAAAGGTAAGAAAAGCTTTCCAGAAGGCAGTAAGCAGAGAGAGACAAAGAGAGGAGAAATACAGAAGAGAGATTAAGAAACATGGGGGATAGAAGGAGAGGATCTAATATGTGTCTCCTAAGAGTTCCGGGAGATATTAGAATAACGGAAAGCCAAATTTCAGGAGAAAACAGCTAAGAGTCTTGCAGGACCGTGAAAGACTCCAACCTCCACTTCAGAAAGCTCGATGGATCCCAAGCAGGATGAATAAAAAGATCTCCGCCTCCACACACCACAGGGAAACCACAGAGTATCATAGACAAAGAGAAAATCTTAAAAGCAGCCAGAGATAAAAGAGAGATTACCTAAAAAGAAACACCAAATAGATTGATGTCCGGGTTCTCAGAGAAACTCTGGAAGTTCAGGAGACAGTCAAGGAACCTTCAAAAACCTGAGAGAAGGTGTCCCTTGAGAATTCCATAATCTCTGAAACTAGTTTTTAAGAATGGGAACAAAATAAAGACATTTTCAGTTAAACAAAAACTGTCAGAGTTTACAACCGGGGCCCTCCCTAAAGAAAGTTCTGAAAACATCGATTTCAGGAAGAAAGGAAAATGAGTCCAGCAGGAAGGGTTGAGATACAAGAAAGAATAGTGAGCAGAAGAAATGGTAAACACGTGGGTAAATTTAAATAAACATTGATGATTTGAAATGTTTAATTTGCGGGGTTAAGACAAACAAACAAGAGAGAATCAAAACACAGGCAACCGGAGTTAAAGCATTTTAGGTCCCTGGAGTTGTGTAGGAGGGATATGGAGACAGAACTCGTGGCTGGCAATTATAACCTAAAGATGCGTGATGCTTTTCTAGGGTTGTTACAAGAGAATAAAAATAGCATGAATTCTAGCTTCCAAACTAATAGAGGAAAAAATGGAATGGGGAGAACCCTCCATTAATACAATTGGAAGAAGGAAAGAAAAAAGAAGGAGGGAGGGAGGGAGGGAGGAAGGAAGGGGGGTGAGTTGGGAGGGGACCAGAGAAGAAGTGACTTGCCCAAGGCCACACAGCAAGTTAGAGGTAAAGCAAGGACTAAGGTGCTCTCTCCCCAGAATGGTGCAGCCTCCCTCAGTCTACATGGGGATCATCAGAGCGGGAATCCCAACCCTGCTTTCCCAGCTATAGTAGTAGAACCACACGCTACCACTCAGGAAGCTCGTGGAAAGGTGTGTGATAAGACATGCTTTGATCAGCAGACACAAAGAGTAATAATGATCATCTCTGTGACTAAAGTCATTAACATAAGCACCGTGGCTTACCATGTAGGCTCCCCTCTATGTGTAATTCATGAGATGCTCACAATAACCCCATGAGGTGGATGCTGATAACATACTCACTTTGTATATAAACCACCCAAGGACGAGGAACATGAGGTAACTTTCCAAGGTCACAAAGCTGGGAAGTGGCAATGCAGGAACCCAGACAGTGTGCCTGCCCTACCTCAGTCTTCATGGTTGGATGCTGGACTGAGCCTATAAAGCTCTGTGTAGATTGTAGAAGTGGGCAGTGTACTGGAATGATCCTAATTAGATCCTGGATCTAAAACAATAAAAAAAAAAAAACAGCTACAAAGGACATTTTTGGGTGATTGGGGAAATTTGAATACGAGCTCTCTATTAGAAATCACTGTAACAATATTAAGTGACTCGGTGTAATCACAGTAGTAGAGTTATGCAGGAGGACAGCCCTGTTCTTAGGAGACAGATGCCAAAGTAGGTAGAGTGGAAGTGTCATGATGTTGGCAACGTTCCAATGTTTTGGAAGTATACAAAGAATAAAGCAAATATGGCAAAATGTTAATAATCGGTAAATCTAGGTAAAGGATAGGTAAGTGTTTCTTGTTGTATCTGGTTGTGTTTAGAAACCATCCCCAAACTTAAAACAACAGCTACTTCTGATTTTTTGCAAGCCCCTGGGTCATTGACAGGAAATTCCCCAGATGTGGTCTGGCCTTGCTTATGCACCTGTCAGCAGCTAGTGGGTGGGCTGTGGCCTGGCTGGACGAAGGTGACCACGGCTTGCACAGCTCAGCTCTCCTCCACGAGTTCCTCAACTCCCGCAGCCAGGCTGGCCTGAGAGTGTCTTCCCAGCAGTGGCAGGAGTCCAAGAGAGGAAGAGGAGAAGGAATGCACGCTTTTAAGCTGCTGCTCACATCGGTTGTACTGTTGTCCCATTGGCCAAAGTGAGTCACACGGCCAAGCCCAGAGTCAGCACCGGAAGACACTTCCAAAGAGCATCACATGGGGAGGCACGCATGGTTAATGCAGTCGACTTGCCACGGTTGTATTACTGTCTTAACTTTTCAATAAATTTGAAATCTTTCAAAATAAAAAGTTAGAGGGATGTATTAGACTACTCTAGAGAAACAGGACCAATAGAATGTGTATATATAAAAGAGATTTATTATAAGGAATTGGCTTACATAATTATAGAGGCTTGAGTGGTCCCAAGGTCTGCAGCCAGTAAGCTGGAGAGCCTGGCAGCTGATGGGGTACTTCCAGGCTGAATATTGGCAGGCTCAACCCCCAGGAATAGCCAATGTTTCAGTTCAAGTCAGAAGAACAACCGGGGCACCTGGGTGGCTCAGTTGGTTAAGCGACTGACTTCGGCTCAGGTCATGATCCTGGAGTCCTGGGATCGAGCCCCACATCAGGCTCCCTGCTCAGCAGGAAGTCTGCTTCTCCCTCTGTCCCTCCCCACTCATGTGCTCTCTCTCTCTCTCATTCTTTCTCTCTCAAATAAATAAATAAAAATCTTAAAAAAAAAAAAAGGCAAGAACCGATGATCCAGCTTGAGGCCGTCAGGCAGGAGGAGCTCCCCCTTATTCACAGGACAGTCAGTGGTTTTTGTCCTATTCAGGCCTTTACCCCATAGGGTCAGCCCCAGCATACCGAGGAGGGCACTCTCCTTTACTCAGTCAAATGTTACCCTCTCCAAAACACCCTCACAGACACACCCAGAACAACATTTGACCAAATATTTGGGCATCCCATGACCCAGTCAACTTAGTACATGAAATTAACCATCACCAAGGACAAAAGAAAAGAAAAAGTCAATCTAATTATTCACTCCTCTGCTCTAAACTCTTCCCTACGTCCACTGGAAGGTAGGTATGTACAAGGATGTCCACTGCAGCTTTGCTAGTCAAAACCCCAAACGTGAGACCACCATGATGTCCATCAACATCATCAATAAATCATGACGTATTCCTAACATGGAAACTAACATGGAATAATAAACTGTGATGAAAAAGAATGCACCGTACACACAACAACACGGATGAATCTTATTGATGAGTGAAAGAAGGGAAAACTGCATGCTGTATGTTTCCGATTACACAACGTTCAGGAAGAGAGAAACTCGTCCATAGTGGTTATCTTCTGGAGCCTTTGTTGGGAAGGGGCTCGAGGGGACTTCCTGGAGTGCCATAAACATCCTCGATCTTGATCTGGGTGGTGGTTACCTGGATATGTTCATGTGAAAAAAATGTGTTAAATTGTACGCTTCAGACTTGAGGGCTTAATTTTTTGTTTAAAGATTTATATATTTGAGAGAGAGAGAAAGCACATGCGCGTGAGTGGGGGGAGGAGGAGAGTGAGAGAGAATTTCAAGCAGACTCCTCTCTGAGCACAGAGCCCGATGTGGGGTTCGATCCCATGACCCTGAGATCATGACCTGAGCCAAAACCAAGAGTCAGGTGCTCAATCTACTGAGCCACCCAGGAGCCCCAAGACCTGAGAGCTTTATAAGTTATATCTCAAAAAAGGTAAACACACACACAAACCTGATTTCTTGGTCCCTCCTGAATAAGACCTAGACTCCTTAACACTCAATTCAATTCAATGGAGCACACATTTCTTCTTCTCTCTCTAAAGTGCTGGGTACAGCAAGCAGGCTGGTCTTCTTATCACCCCCCGCCCAGTAGAGATCTTTGATAAATATGCATTGAATCCATGTGGGGACCTCAAGGGCCGGGGACCGTGAGTATACCTGGGCATCAGGTGGGCTGTGGGGTGGCATCCTGGTCCCTGGTCTCCTTCCAGGCCCTCTTTGGTGCCTGCACAACGGCTCCGTCTTGCAGGGGTGCCTTCTGCCCCCCTCATCCGCCAAGGCCCCCCGCCGCCCCCTTTCCTCAGTGCTGCACACTTTACAGCCATTGTCAAACATAATGATTCTTACCCTGGAGAGAAATTGGGTTCCATTTCATGTTTTATTGCCTCAAAAAGGACATTTTTTACCTTCCCGCAGTCCGTACCCAGCAGGAACAGGACGATAAATCTCAGCGAAGGTTTCCACTGAGATAGATGGTCCAGCAAGGAGACCACGGTGCTCCAGGCAGGGAGAAAAAAATAAGCCCTTGCACCCGCTTTGCCACCCCACACTGGGGCCCTGTCCCCAACACTGCCTGGCAGCCTTGGCACTGGGGTGGGGGGAGGGGCTCCAGCTGGACAGCCAGCTGACAAGCAAAAAAAGCCTGAAAGTCCGAACTGGCCTCTCTCCAGCCTTGCCACCTTCATTCTGAAGAAGGCTCTAGCCCAAGACAGAGAAGGTAGATGGTTTGTCATGCACTTTTTGTGTGCAGCCCACATATTTCCTCAAGTTTAGTTTGCAGCAGCCCCGCGCTGTGCAGGTGTATGTAAGACTGAGGTTCATGGAGGTCGGGCATGCAGCTGGTAAGGAGCAAGCTGGAATGTGAACTTGGGTCTTTTGGGAACCCGTTCAAGATGCTCCTGACCATGGCTGCTCCTCAGTTCCCTAGGAGCTGGCCCAGGAAACCAGAGAAATTTTGGCAGATGGCAGCAGGAATCCCACAGTCGCTGCTGGGACAGCTTTTGCCCCAGCCTCCTTAGCTGAGGGCTTACCCCAGGAGCTCCCCTGCACGGCCTGCAGGAAGAACGGCACCTGTGTGCACTTCCCCTCGGTCACCGTGTGACTTGGACGGACCTTTTAGCAGGTCCCCAGAGAGGCTGCTGTCTTGTACAGGGTCACACCCTTAAGGACGGAGTCAGGACTAGAACTCAAAACCCATGACTCCTGGCCCGGGGTCTTTCTTCTTTTTTCCCCAATTTTGTTGTTGTTGTTGTTGTGACAAAATACACGTAACATAAAATTTATCATCTTAACCATTTTCAAATGTACAGTTCAGTGGTATGAGATACATTCATAATGTTTGGAAACTCCACCACCGTCCATCTCCAGAACCCTTTCCATCTTCGGAACTAAAATTCTGCCCCCGTGAAAAAATAACTCCCTTTGTCCTCCTCCCTTGGTCTTGACCGCCACCCTTTTATTTCTGTCTCTGTGAGTTTGACTACTCGACATGCCTCAGGGAAGTGGAATCACACAGCCTTGATCTCTTCGTGACTGGCTCCTTTCAAAATCCCAGTACGATGTCCTCAAGGTCCATGCACATTGGGACACCCATCAGGATGTTCTTCCTATTCTGGCTGAATAATATTGCAGTGTATCTATAGACATCATTTTGCTTATGCATTCATCCACTGATGGACACTTGGGGTGCTTCCACATTTTAGCTCCTGCTAATAACGCTGCTATGAACAGTAATGTACAAACATCTCTTCAAGACCCAGGCCTTTCTTCTTACCTATCGCTCTGCCTCACTGACGTCTTCCAGCTATTTATTATCATTCCCTTCTAAGACATGAAAATGTGTAGTGTACCCATTGGTTATTTCATAACAAGATCCCGAAATCTACCACTCACAACATAAGCCAGTCACACCATACCACCCGCTGAATGACTCCGTTTCTGTGAAATGTCCAGCACGGGCAAATCCACAGAGACAGAAAGTAGATTCATGGCAGCATGGGGAGTGATGGCTAAGGGGTACTCTCTTGGGATGATGAAAATACTCTGAAATTGATTGGGGTAAGGATTGCACAACTCTGTGAATATACTAAACGACGTTGATTCAGACACGTTAAATGGGAGGATTTTACGGTATGTGAAATATATTTTAAAAGCTCTCAATAAAGCTGTTAAAAAAATTTGTTAGACTCTCAGCCCATTTCCTTGCCTGTAAACTAGGGATTGCTAGAGCCATCTCATGCAGCTGTTATAAAGCTGAGTTAATATGTGAAAACCTCCCCACCAAATGTCCCACACGTGGGAGGAACTTCCCACTCTCCAGAAAGGATGATGTTCTCAAGAGCACCACTCAGTCATTAATTCATTCAACAGCACTGCTTGCTAGAATGTTCTCTGACCGAGGAAGTGTTCTAGCTCTGCACTATCAAGTCCACAGCCAGCAGCCACATACGACTATGGATTTTTTTCTTTTAATTAATTTACACTTAAATAGCCACGTGTGGCGAACGGCCACCATGTTGGACTATGAAATTCTAAGCAATGGAAATGAAGCGGCTCACCAAACAATATCCCTGTTCTCGTGGAGCTGACATTATGACACACAGACAAGTATTTATAAAATATAAGGCTGGAAAGGGCTATGTAGAAACATATATTAAGGTGGGAGGGCTGAAAGGACGGGGGTGGGGACTATTTACACAGGGTGGTCGAGAAAAGCCTCTCTGAGGAGGTGACACTTGAGCAGAGACCTGAAGGAATGAGTGAACCATGCAGCTATCTAGAGGAAGAGAATTCCAGGCTGAGGGTACAGCAAGAGCAAAGGCCCTGAGGCAGGAACTTGCTTGTTGAATGCAAGGAAGAGCCGAAGGGCCAGTGTAGCTGGAGGGCAGGGGAGTGGGGTGAGGGCAGAGGATGAGTTCAGAGAGCAGGAGGGGAGCCAATCCTGTGGGACCAGGGGCTGGGGGAAGGGACTTGGTGGGGCTGTGAGCAGAGAAGGGACATAACCAGCTTAGGTTTTAGCAGGAACCCCCGGTTGCTGGGCAAACAATAGGCCAGAGGGACAAAGGTGGCACAAGGGAAACCAGTTAGGAGGCCACGGCCATACTCCAGGCGAGACTCAGTGGTGGCTCCGACCAGGGCAGACAGTGGCCAGGAAGAAGTTGTAGGAGTCTGCTTGTTCTTTGGAGGGAGAGCCCACAAGACTTCTTGAGGGATGGCATGTGTGTGAGAAGAACCAAGGACAGCTCCGGGGGTTTAGGGCTGAGCACCTCAGCAACTGGGGATGCCATTCACGAAGGCAGGGAGACTGGGGTGGGGGTGACGGAGTGCAGTTTGGATCTGGTAAGTCTGGGAAGCCTGTTGGGAACCCTCAGGGTAAGCCCAGGAGGTAGAAAAGCTCCAGGGTCCCTGATCCACACTACCAGGACATTGGAGGGTCCAGGCCTGACCACAAAAGCACTCCCTGAAGATGAAGAACTGACAATAGTAGGTGAGGAGAGCCCTGTGTCCTTCCCCCATGGGGAGGAGGCAGTGCGGCCCTGCCTCAAACAGGAGGCTGGAGCAAGGCCTTGCCTCATCCAGCACAGCTGCTGGGCCTCTCCAGAGAAGCTTCCGTAGGGTTCTGGGGAGGCTGTGTGGCTGGGGCAGACACCACTGCTGGACAGATGAATGGGGACAAAGGCCTCTGAGGAGCTAGCACCCGGAGCTGGGGTCCTTGACATCTTGGCTGCAGGGGTGAGGCACCAAGCACCTGCTTTCCCAGGATGCCATGGAGCTGGGAATGGACCCTATCACAGCTGAGATGAAGGATCCCAAGAGGCTGCTTGCTTGGTCCTGGGAGGGCTGGAGGGAGAGGAGGCCAGACTGTATCCAGTTGGACACAGCACTTGAGGCAGCCGTCGGGGAGGAGCGGGGAGGGGGTCAATGGCTGGGAAGGTGGAGCAATAGTCCCCTGCCCCCGCCATCATCCTTTGCCTATGCAGCTGACTCTGCCCGTGCTGAGAGCCACCCCCCCCACAGGCCATTACAGAGACCCGAACATGCCAAGGAAATGTACCTGGATGGAAACTTCTAGCACTGCAGACTTGGAGTCACCCCTCTGCAGGGCAGCCTTACTATTCATTCCTCAGCTTCAAGGACATGGTTGCATACGTTCAATTAACACATGTTTCCTGAGGACCTCCTGGGTGCTGGTCACTAGAGGCACTTGGGATACAGCTGTGAACAAAATAGACAAAATATAGTCCAATGGTGGGGGTGGGGCAAGTAGGAACAGATGATAATGAAATAAAACATAGTAAGTAAGTAAATCGGATGGTATCCTAGAAGCGGGTACAGGCGCTATAGGGGAAAAAATGCAGAGTAGATTTAGGAGGTTGGGATTGGGGTAAGCAGTTGTCACTTCAAATAGTGAGGATACAGGAGGCTTCTTGCAGAAGGTAATCCCTTCTAGATCCTTAGGATAGTCTAATAATTAAATGGACATAAGACATATTAACAGGAGGGAAAAAAATTTCATACATACGAGAGCTCATAAAAATAGGAGACTCAAAGAAGTAACCAAAGCAGATAGGTTTTATTCTCCCCCCTTTTTTTAAAAGATTTTATTTATTTATTTGAGATAGACAATGAGATAGAGAGAGCATGAGAGGGGGGAGGGTCAGAGGGAGAAACAGACTCCCTGCTGAGCAGGGAGCCCAATGCGGGACTCGATCCCGGGACTCCAGGATCATGACCTGAGCTGAAGGCAGTCGCTTAACCAACTGAGCCACCCAGGCGCCCTGTTTTATCCCTTTTAGACAAGGAAACAATATATTTGTGAAGAACTGAGAAGACAAAGGGGTTGGGGCTTGGGGTAGTACATTGGAGAGGAAGTAACAAGGTTTGTTTATATGGCCTTTTCAGCCCAGAATTCCCGTCTCTGGGGATAAGGATGTCTCTCTTTCTCCTGATACAGGGAGGGTAACATTCCCATGGGAGATTATTTCTTGCTTTCAGGGGGGACCGAGGAGGATCAGAGTGTCCTTCTTATACTGGCTGTTTCTTAAGTAACTTTAATTTGAAATAATCCATATACCAAAGTGGCAAATGTTGGGTGGCCTGCCCTGGACCCCATCAGTTCCCTGAGTCTCTTTAGGAGGCAGTGATGCAGGTGGGTTCCTAAAGTAAGGCCTCGACTGCACAAGCAATCAGGTATTTAATAAGAGGCAATTCTATGGACACAAAAGAAAAACGATGCTTAGCGATTGGAGCAAATTATAAACCAGTTTCTGAGTTTTGAGGGTAGCCAGTTGGGAAGATTTCTAGATGTCAGGCTTGAAGCATTTTCAGATAGAGTGAGGGCAGGCAATGGCCTCTAACAGATTTTCCTGGTCTGCAGTGTGAACGTCTCTGGGGATCTTTCTGAGTGGCAAACACAGTAACAGGCACAAAGATCTTCCATACTGTTGTGGTGGTTTCTCCGAAGTTTATATCCATTTGTCAAGTCAGCTTCCATGGCTTCGGAAGAAAGGCTGCATTAGTTTTTGATGATTCCAAGTCTGAAGAGTGGGAGAAAAGTTGAAAATGCTAGTCTAGAGAGTTGTAGCCAGATATTGGAAGAAACTAGAAGATTTAAGATCTAGTCCAGATTACAGGCAGAAAACAAAACCTCAAAGACAATGAACAGCCCTGGAATCAGATATCCACAGGGTGTTATAGATTTTTGCTGAAACACAATATTTCTCTCTACAGTTACCCCCATTTTTATCAGAAATAATAAAACACAAATTTATTTACAAAATAAGTCTCATCTTAATAAACTCAGCTCGATTATTTACATAAATGCGGCAAGAATATATATTGACCATATAGAATCTTCTAAACTGCTTTGCTAGAACTTTTTATAAGGAATCTCAGATTGGACTTTTAAAAGCCTCTCAAAGCTCAGAAGTCGAGCCAATATCTACGGACTTTGGTGAATTCCTCTTCTCGAGTTCCCCCAAATATCCTGAGGTTCTTGCACCTGCCAGGAAGTGACCTTCCTTACTCACCTGGTAAGGCTGCTGGGAGCCCTGTAAGCAAAGTACCAAGGGGTTTTATTGGCTCTGTATAGTCAACCTTAGTCCCTTCAAGCTGTCTGGTCACACCCGAGCCTTTGTACATCTCTCCTGAATATGACCTTCCAGTCAAAGGCTTGGTAATATAACCAATGTTTCCAGTTGTGTCCTGTTACGAGGAGAACAGATTCTTAGTGAACTTATGCAAATCACCACATTGCCATAAAAATAAAAATACTCACTGAAGGGTTTCTGAATTCTGGAGGGATCTGGGAAGGAGAAAAAGATAAATGTTTCATCATTGTTCAGAAAGGCAGATTTTCCCGAATTGCTCTGAATCATAGATAACTTGAGAGAGAAGAGAACACGTTTTCCTTAAATCTGGAAAAAAAAAATTTTTTTTTAAATCAACAATGTTCCAAACAAAACAGCAAAGAACATTATAATCATCCTCATCAGTTAATTCAGCCTCATGTAATTGATTCTTGTTAATCTTTTGTTAGAAGTCATGAAGACATTAGTTTCTCTGTTAGGAGTCTGTAAATTCTTACCCAGTTCGGTGGCATGATCTGAAAGTTATCGGAAAGCCCTTGTCAGAGTCCTCCCCGTGGATTTCTCTGAAGACCAAGCACTTCTGCAGGAACAAGCCTGCTAAAGCATCAGAGATAAACAGTAACTGTGAATGACAAAAGACTTCAACATGCCGGTGGCTAAAGATCTGATTAGAGTTCATTACAGTGCAATGGACAAGGAGGTTTGGTTCTTTCTGTGACATGCAACATTTTAAGATAAAAACTAGAATCGTGACTGATGACTTTATACCAGGACCTACCCGAGTTTTGGGAATTTCTAGAACACCAATGAATAACATTCACCCACAGACTATAATCTAAGAAGGCTTATCACTCATTTGACAATGCTCCCCACGTAATTTAACATACCAAATAAGCCTAATTAGTGAAATTCCTTGTGTAAGGAAAGAGAACAAATCTTTTGAGATGTTCCAGGGACCCTCTGGAAAATCTCAAGTAACTTCCAGGTCAAAAGGCTTTATTTCAAATTTAATTTTTGGAAAGTTTGTCAAAATATCAAAAGATTTTAAAACACTTGGTCAAACAAGATCATAGTTTACTATGAAACAACTTAGTTATCCACTTAATCATGGCGACAATTAAAAACTTTGCAAGTACACACAGAAAGTTAAATAGTTGTAAGTAAAACTTAGCTCTTTTGGTAGAGAAGACTCGATTTCATTTTGTTTTTTTAAGTAATCAAAGATCTAGGGGACGCCTGGGTGGCTCAGTCAGTTAAGCATCTGCCTTCAGCTCAGGTCATGATCCCAGGGTCCCGGGATGGAGCCCTGCATTGGGCTCCCTGCTCAGTGGATAGCTTGCTTTTCCCTTTCCCTCTGCCGATCTCCCCACCCCCCGACCCCCACCTCGTGTGCATGCTCTCTCTCTCAAATAAATAAATAAAATCTTTAAATTAAAAAAAAATCTGATAAAAGCAACACAAGAAATTATTTTGATAAAACACAAATCCTTTGCTTTTTAAGACAGATTACTTAAAAAATGAGGACAAGCCTTTTATAATCTCTTATCAGGAGCAGACCAATAGTCCAAGCAAATTTTTCCTTCAAGAAGATGGAAGAAAATTAAGTTCTAGTTTTACGTAAGTACACTATGGATATTAAAGCTTATTTTTAAAACCCTTACACAAATTCATTCAATTTTATCCTGCTTGATCACACGTAAAATTCCTTCCCCAGGATTCCTTGTTCACAGCCTTTTACAACTTTCTATCTTAGCTTGTCCCTTATTTTCTTTCCCATTCAGAAATAACCAGTTTTACTTTAAGACAAAATTACTTTCTTTTCCCTCAACAAAAATGCATCCCCATTTCTCATACCTTTTATTTCCAAAAACTCATATCTTACATTCCTTGTATATAGAGATGTTTCTCTTATTATTTCTAGTAGCTTTATCTTAGCCGAATTCTTAGCCCTTAGACACCCTAATTTGTAGTAGAAGCTAAAAAGTAAGCGATTGTGAGATACCTATTACGCCATCATTCTTTCTTTCTTTCTTTTTTGAGCGAGAGATTGTGTGGGGTTGGGGGGAGCAGAGGGAGAAGGAGAATCTCAAGCAGGCTCCACACTCAGCGCAGAGCCTGATGCAGGGCTCAATTTCATGACCCTAAGATCATGACCTGAGCCGAAATCAAGAGTCGGCCACTTAACCGACTGCGCCTCCCAAGCACCCCAGGCCAATATGCCTCACAATTTCTAGAAGCATAGGATTCTTCACAGTTTAATTTTTCAATGGGTCATAAGATGCATTCATAAACCGATCCTCTGTGATAAGAGGTCAAAAGTAAGTGAGCTCAGACTTGTGTAGCAATTGATGTTTTAGTAGTTTATCTTATTTGGAAATGATCTGGACATTCAGTAAATTCCCAGCACTTAATTTAACTTAGCAAAATTCTAAGGGTGAAAGTCATCAAAGAGATTTGGGAAACTATTTAAGGAGATGTGTCATAAAACAATCATTGCTAGAACGTTCACCTGAAAACTCTTATATATGTCTGTTTAGTTCATTTGCTCTTCACCATCGTACTTAGATTACCCACAGTGATTTCATGAGACATTAAAGCAATTAGCTATAATTTCAAGTTATTTGTCTTGCTGACAAATTTTATAACAAATACAATGAGCTTATTTGACTTTCAGTAAATCTAGGTAAAATAAAAGTATTATGCTTAATGCCAATAACTCTAAAAACATGTCTATATTAATTGAATCAACAAACTTAAACTAGTTTCTATTTACCAAAAATTATCCTAGATCATGCCACCTTGAAAAACAGTTGGGTTAGCATCTATTCTATTTCTGAGGTTTAGAAATACTTAGGTTTATACGCACTTATTTTTAAGCCAATTACACAGAGCTCTATACATTAATTCTGGGAGTACCATCCAGAGGGAGAAAAATCTGATTTATAATGTACACACATAGGCATAATGAACATACAGACACACAGTTGTCATAGCTTTCATTCCAAAACTTTAGCCATAGATCAAGCCCGGAGCATTTGTAGAATACTATACAAAGCTCGCTAGTATGATACAAAACTCAAGAGTTTACAAATAATTGTGTCTCTCTGGGGAGGGTATGTGCTCTGGTAAGCGCTGTGAATTGTGCAAGACTGTTGAATCTCAGATCTGTACCTCTGAAACAAATAATGCAATATATGTTAAGA